TCGTGTGTCTGGCTACGAGTTTAGACTGTAGCTTGCAGGTTGTGAGAAGGAGGGGTTATGGAATTTCTCTGGTGCCCCTCCCAGGAAAAGAGAGTTAGTGAAATGCGAGAGAGAGCGGGGCTGCTGAGATTTTCACAGGCCCGGGGGAGAGGGCGGGGGGAAGCAGGCTGCCCTGGAGCTGCAACGCACTTCAATTTCTGGTGGTATCTTGGACACCACGGATGCAGAGTCGTGGGTCCCCCCTTCCCCAGAGGGTCATAACCAGCTTGGGTGTCCAGCTTTCTGCGTGGGACCACCCCACCAGGACGGCTCTGGGAGTCCCTGCTGACCTGTTACCTCGGAGATGGTGTTTTCTCTCTGCCTTTCCTCTTGATCCTGCAGAAGGGCCACAGTTGCTCTGACCTCGGGCCCGGGTGTTCACTCAACAGCTCTTGGTGGGATCCCTGCATCTGCCACGACCAGGCCGGGTGCTCACTGGGGTGCCTTAGGGAGCAAGACAGACAACCTGGCCTTCTCCGAGTTTATAATCCAGTGCAGAGCAGGGGTTCTCAAAGTGTGGTCCCCACACCAGCAGCAGCAGCACCTGGGAACTTGTTAGAAATGCAAATTCCAGGGCCTCCCCCAGACTCCTTGAGTCAGAAAGTCCATTGAACAAGCTCCCGGGTGATTCTGACACATCCTAAAGAGGAACCACTGCTCGACAGGGTGCGTTCTCAACCGAGGGCAGCTTTCCCCCCGGGGAACATTTGGCCATGTCTGGAGACGTGTTTGGAGACGGGGGGAGAGGGGTATTACTGGCATCTAGTGCGTAGAGGCCAGGGATGCTACTGAACACCCTTTAATGCACAGGACAACCCTCACAGCAAAGAATTATCGGGTCCAAAACATCAGTTGTGCCAAGGTTAGTGAGAAACCTGCTTAGTGCCGCTACAGGAAGGGCGACGAGTGATTCTTCTCTCCCTTTACTCCAGACGTGTCGCTCTGCGGCCACATGACCTGGGGTGAGTCACTTCCCCCTCTGGCCTGTTTCCCCAGCTATGAAGTGAAGAGGTTGGACTCAAGGCTGCTGAATCCTTGGCAGCTTGGATGTTCAGTGGCTCCAACCTAGCCACTGGTTGGCCCTGTGGCGGTGGGGCTGATGCAGCTCTTCTCTTGCCCCCAGGTGCCACCTGGCCGAGAGAGGCCATGGAGAGGTGGGCTCCTCATCTGCCTGGTGCCACCTCCTCCCCAGGCCGCTGCTGCCAGAGTCCAGCTGGCCTTGGGTTTCCCGGGGAACAATCATTCTCCCCATTGTGGGTGATGTTTGCTTCCACTGGCCCCACGCAAAGGAGCCGGCCCTGGGGAGGAAAGGGAGCCACCAGCTGGCTCCTCACCCTCGCCTGCTTCCTCCAGGGAGCTGTGGCGCCCTCTCTCCTGAGTCTCCAGCCTCAGTTTCCCCTACTCTAAAGAGAGCAGCAGCCCTGGCGAGGGAGCTCCAGAGGCCTGAGGGCAGCTGCGGCACCCTGGACGCCGGCCTGCTGGAGCCTGGCACTTCCCAGACCTTCCAGGCCCCCAGCGGTGGGCAACTCAGTTCTCACTCTCAGCCCAGGAGCCTGGGATGGAGTCTGGGCGCAGAGTTAGGACCAATGGCCGACTCATTGACCCACCACCTCCTTCCTCGTTGGACTGCAGCTCCTCTGGGCCAGGAAGGGGAAGGTCTTGTTCGTTATTATTTCAGTTTTTGGAAAAGATGTGCAAGCCTGGGAGACACGCTGGGGCCGACGTGCAACCGTGGCTCTGTGATCTGGGGTCCCCGAGAGCAGGTGTGAAGGCTCGAGGCTGAAAACAGGTGCAGAGGGGAGACGAGCTGGGGGAGCCGGGCTGCAGCGTGCCCAACGGCAGACAGGGAACGAGTGCTTTGGCTACAAATTCTAATCCTCACAGTTGTGGTGTGATTGGGGCAAGACCCTTGCCGGCTCTGATCCTTGCCTCAAATAGGTGAAAAGGAAAGTCAAGTTCAATGAATTTTGGCTCCTGAGTGGATGGATTTGCACGTACCACAGTTTATCACATCCCTGTCCATCCAGGCTAACCTTGAACACCTTACTTCCTGTGCAGTTAAGACCCGCTGTTAAATAAAGGGAGGGTGCTAGGTGGCAGATTGACAGTTCAGTAAAGCCTGCTTTGTAATCTGAGATCAGTGGCTCACAAGCACCGTCCTTGACCCAAGTACTAATATTCTTATCTTAATTAGGATGCAGATAAAAGGGCTTTAAAATCTCTCCCTGAATCTGTTACTTTGCCCTGGGCCGCGCCAGCGTGGGCCGTCATGATGCCCCTTGTCCTGGTTCTGGGGGTTTCGATGGGGTCCTTGGACACTGATCATTTCAACATACCGTCTCTGGTCAGCGGAGTTCATTCTGCCGCTTAAGTGCCAGGGGAGGTAATGGCACTGCGCACACAACAGATCTGCTGAGTTGGAATGACCCAGCAGTTGTAAAAAGGCAGTGGGGGCGGGGGGTGCCTCCTAGGGTGTCGCTGCTTGCAGGGCTCCAGAGCTCTGCCTCCCGAGCAGGTGATCCAAGGGGGAAGCCATGGAGCCCACCTGGGCAGGTGAAAGCACTGGAATCATTCTGCACAGAAAGAGGAAATTTGGGCATTTATATCCGAGGGAAGTGACAGCGGTGCTCATGGCCTCTCTGTGCTGAGGTCACGGAAGGAGAGTGGTTTGTAAAGTTCACCTGGGAGGTTGGAGAGGTAGACCCCTCTTTGCTGTTCTTTACGATTGCAGCCCCTTGACAACATTGCGCAAAATTTGTCTTATTTGCTTCCACTGTGTACAGTGATTGCACAAATATTGGCAGAGTGCCTTGCTGTGTCAGGTGTTATGCTGGGCACTGGGACCGGGACAGACACAGTCCTTGCCTGCCTGAGCTCCAGATCATTGCTATGTGACCCCTGCCAGGTGAACTTCATCCACCTACTCCTGCTGCTGGAGGCAGCTCTGCGTCTGCCTTCCGCCTCGTCCCACACGCTCGCCACATGCCCCACAGTGCAGCTGTCCCTCGCCTTGTTTTAACTATAGGAGTGCTGGTCCCAGCCACCCACCTGATCCCACTCACCCACACGTAGAGGGCCAGGCACTCTTGGTGCTTGGGGTTGAAAGATGGAAGGCGGGGCCTGTCTTCAGGCTGGGATAGAGCCCACGCCGACACACCACGGGCTACATCTCAGCTGGGATGGCAGAGGCCTGCTCTCTGGCACAGCTTAGACTTCCAGTACACGTGGAGTGAATGAGACCTTGAACCACTTTAGATTTCGTAACCCAAAGGGGGAGAGGGAAGTTCAGGGCTGGACAGGCAGGGTCCAGTTCCCAGGGAGAATGCTGCCGTGGATTCCAAGTGCGCCAGTGACCTGAGAGGTGGGCTTGGAAAGCTGTCGCAGTAATCTAAATGCTAGTGATAGGGGCTCTGGTTCAGAGGAGGGGGCTGGGCACGGAGGGGGCTGAATGTGAGCAGCATCAGGACTTGGGGAGGGACACGTGTGAAGGAAGAATCAGAGATGGCTCCAGAAACTGAGTGTGGGAGCTAAGAGGTCGGTGGGGTCACTGATAGGAACCGGGCATTAGATTTCCACTGTGCTGCAGGAAGGGGAGGGAGCCCATGCCAATGGATGTCTGTCTGGAAGCTTCATTAAGGACCACTGTGGACGAGTATTTCAAGAAATGGCCCCCCGTGGCCCAATTCTCACTTTAGAGGGGCAGCTCTTGGCAGGAGCAAACCTCAGGGCCTCAGCAAGCCCCCAGCGAGGTCCTGTAGTGAATAGAGGACATGCGAGTGTGGGTTTCCTAGTGGGGTCCTCCTCTTGCCTCAGTTTCCAAGACACAGTCAGGGCTGGGGCTGGGGAGTGGCTCTGCTGAGTCATCATCTGAAACACGATCATGTCTCCTGCAGTTGAGTCCTAACTCCACTGCGTCCAGCAGAACCTCCGCTGGCTCTGGTGTGAGGGCTGTGTCCACATTCACGCGTGTTTCTGGGAACTTGAACCTGCTGTGGGTTACTTCTCTGGGAATGTGGAAGATGAGGAGCCAGACAACCCTGCTGGGCCGGTGTCTGCCTGGTATTGGTTTGCAGGAGCTGAGCTCTTCTTTTTTCCCTTTCTGAGGAAAAAGACACAGGAGTCAGACAAATGGGGATTAACACAGCTGAGTTTATGTGAAATGTAATAGGTGAATCTATAGAGACAGAATGGGGTCAGTGATTGCTTAGGGCCTGGGGTGGGGTGGGGGGCAGTAAGGGGGTGATAGCTGAAGGAGTTTCTCTTTGTGGTAATGAAAATGTTCTAAAATTATGTTTGCACAAGTCTGTGGATATACTAAAAATCATCGGGTTGTACACTTTAAATGGGTGAATTATGTGGTATGTGAATTATATCTCAATAAAGCTGTTTAAAAAAACCCAGCTGAGATGTGTGGCCGTGTTTGAGCTGCCTAACACTCTTCCCCCATCCCCTAGAGTTGAACTTGACCTTCAGACCTCCCCCCTTGCCCTTGTTTACATCCTGAGGACAGGCTCTTCTCAGAGAGAGACGGCAGGGGGCTGAGCCTCGGTCCCATGCCCTCTCCTGAGCCCACCACTCAGAGAAGTCGCTGCTTGTCTCATAGGGGAGGGAGTCGTGAGGGTGGAGAGAGGCTTCTCAGAAGCTTCTGGAGTAGACCCCTCAGAGAAACGTGAGGCCTCAGGAATGCAGCCCCCAACACCAGGGCTGTGCAGAAGCCAACCCAGGATTATATTTTCCCAATCTGATTAATGAATTTCATAGCTCAGTAGGATTATGAGTGACTTTTGTCTCTTTTTCTGTTTTCCAATTTTTCTATACTATGCTTATGTTCCTTTTTTAGGTCAAAAGTACATAAAATCCGGGGTTGGGTGGGAGAGAAGTTGGAGGTTTGGCATCTCTGGCCAGGCGTCAAGGTCCGGCCGGGTGGCCTCTGTTGCTGATGGCTTCTCCCCACTCTGCAGGAATCATGTGGCTGGAAATTTTCCTCGCCTCGGTGCTGGGCTATGTCATCTACTGGTTCGTCTCCAAGGACAAGGAGGAAACTTTGCCACTTGAAGATGGGTGGTGGGGGCCTGGGGTGAGGCCGACGGCCCGGGAGGATGAGAGCATCCGCCCTTTCAAGGTGGAAACATCAGATGAGCAGATCAACGTAAGGCTCCTTTTTCTAAGCAGAGGTGGGGCGTGGCTGGGGGCGGCGCCCCTTCTGTGGTTTCTCTGGGGCTGGGTTTGGGCCTTAGGCTGGGGCCGGGGAGGGGGCGGGGCTTGGAAAGGGGCCCCTCTTGGGAGTGTTGTTTAGTCTGCTCTTCTCCCAGGCGCACCTGGGCAGGTGCAGGTTGCTCCAAGAGAGGTGTGCTGAGCTCACTCACTCTGCCCACCTGTCCCTTCTGCTCCTTCCCTCCTCTGCCTCCTCCTTTCCCCTACCCAAGGCCCAGCAGTGCCCAGGCGGGAGAAGGGGTGCTAGCTGGACCCAGTTACGTGCATCAAAGGTCACAGGAAACAGCTGTTTTGCCTCCTTTATGCCTCACCTGAAACCTTGTGCCCCACCTGAGCTTGAAGGAGAAAGCGAGCGGGTTCTGGTCAGGGCTGTGGTGACATAAAATGCTGGAGCACAGAGAACCTGCAGCTGGGCCAGTGCTGGTTAAGCACCTACTGTGTGTCAGCCACTCATGGTCACACTCGGTCCCTGCAGTAATTCTGTTGGCTGAGGTCTGTTGTTCCATCTTACAGATGCAGAAACTGAAGCTCAGAGAGGTAAAGCCATTTGTCCAAGGTGACCGAGATAATAAGCAGAAAGGTTTGGACTCAGAGCTGTCTAACTCCTAAGCCACTGCCCCCTCCTCCGCGCAGGGCTGGAGTCAGGAAGGATGTGACCAATGGGGTGGGCTGATCTGACAGCTAGGCTTGAGCTGGGCCAGGAGGGTGGGAGGGAGCTGGGATGTCCCCACCCATTCTCGCTTTATTCTGTGGGTATTTGAGCACCTACTGTGTGCAGGCACAGGGCTGGATGCTTGGAAGAAGAGAGAGATCCTGTTCTCGAATAGCTCACAGTCCAGTAGCTGAGAAAAGAAATGTGCACAGAGAAAAGTTAACTAAAAGGTTAATAGAGGTAAATGCCATAAGAAGTAGCAAGAGGGCCGGCCCCGTGGCTTAGCGGTTAGGTGCGTGCACTCCGCTGCTGGCAGCCGGAGTTCGGATCCCGGGCGCGCACCGACGCACTGCTTCTCTGGCCATGCTGGGGCCGCATCCTGCATGCAGCAACTAGAAGGATGTGCAACTGTGACATGCAGCTGTCTGCTGGGGCTTTGGGGAAACAAAAAAGGAGGAGGATTAGCAATAGATGTTGGCTCGGAGCCGGTCTTCCTCGGCAAAAAGAGGAATATTAGCAGGGATGTTGGCTCAGGGCTGACCTTCCTCCCAAAAAAAAAAAAAAAAAAAAAGTAGCAAGAAAAAAGTCATGAAGGTTCCGAGGAGGATGGGATTAAAAAACAGAAACTAGGCTGCACCCCAGAGAAACTAGGCTGTGGCTCCCAAGGATAACTCCTTTCTAGGGTTCTTGGACTTGGGTCTAAGATTTCTGAAATCTGTTTGGGGTGATGGAGGTGCCTGGGAGGAAACCCTGGGAAGGGTAACACTTGAGAGTGTCTGTGAGCCGACTTGAACTTCCCCCACCTGGGCTGGTCTTATAGCCTGATGCACACCCATTAGACTTGCACTCTCTCTCCTGGTCTGTAATTTTTATCCCAAACGAGTTATAATGTATCATTGAGTCAGCAGGACAAATCCACCCAGCCACCTGTTTTTTACCGCCCCCATGCTAAGAACAGTTCTTACATCTTTAAATGGTTGAAAAAATCAAGATAAGAATAATTTTTCATGACGTGAAAATTATATGACATTCAAATTTCAGTGTCCATAAATAAGGTTTTATTGGAAGACAGCCACGTCCATTCGTCCGTGTATTGTCTATGGCTGCTTCCACACTACCAGGACAGAATGGAGTAGTTGTAGCTGGAAAAGTCCAAAATATTTACCATCTGGCCCTTTCCAGAAAGTTTGCCAGCTCCTGCTATATAGAAGGCTAGGTAAATTAAAGATGCGTATGGTGTATTGTTCATACATTTAAAAACCGAGAGATAAGAAGTGAACGTGAAGTTGAAAGTGAAGAACACATATGTTCTGGAAACAGTCACTCTTGTGGGAAGCCAGGAGGTCTCTTCTGGAATAAACTTGACAGCCCAGAGTGCGAGTCCATAGACCAATGGCCTCCTCACCTTCTCCCATGAAACTTTGCCTTGCCTCTTCTCTAGCTCAGTGTCTTGTGGCTGCAGGGTGTGCTCTGTCTTCTGGAAACAAACTTTCTCTTGTGCTCTGCCCCACCCACCCCTGTCTCCTTGGGGTCTTGCGTTTTGCTCCAGGACTTACACCAGAGGATCGAGAAGGCCCGGTTAACCCCACCACTGGAGGACAGTCGCTTTCACTATGGGTTCAACTCCAACTATCTGAAGAAAGTCATCTCCTACTGGCGGAATGAATTTGACTGGAAGAAGCAGGTGGAGATCCTCAACAGATACCCTCACTTCAAGACTCGGATTGAAGGTATGTTTCCAAAACACCGGCCGGAAGCGGTCGTCTGTCACAGGAACGGCCTTAGACGCCGGACGCGACTTAAACAAAACTGAGGAGGCCCAGAATCCAATTTTTAGGTGATTGAAATGTATTTATAAGGTGTAAACTCACCAGGATGCAAAAATAATGCAACATCCCAACAAAACCAATGGTCTTTAGAGCCAGACAGGAAATAATTTAAAAATCAAGGAAATGCAGCATCCAATCCAGTGATGGAGCAATCTTTGAGAGGATGAGATAGATGTAGACCTGGGCATGGCCTTGGTCAACTCAACCTCTTCTCAAGGTTTTGGAGTCCAGGATATTGTGACTGTTCAAGGGTGCTCAGCCTGTCAGTCGAGGTCCTAAGAAAAACTGTGCTGTCTGTCTGCAACTCTAGACGTCTGGTCCCAACTGTATCACAGGCTGTCGTACAACTTTACCTAGAAGACAAGATATCTCTCAAAATTTTCTTGGGAAGGTAACCTCAGCATCATTTGGGATGAGGTAATAGTTTCCTTAGTGGAAAAGCATTTTTTAACCCCAGAAAGATTTAGAAGCAAATACAGAAATATTTAAGAAAATCAAACTCATGTTGTTAATTTTTTAATTTATTTTTAATTGTAGTAAAATTATACATAACATGAAATTGACCATTTTAACCATTGTTAAGTGTACTCTGTAATGCCAAAGTTCAGTGGCATTAAGTACATTTACAATGTTATGCAGCCATCACTACCATCTATCTTCAGAACTTTTTTTATTTTGCAAAATGGAAACTCTGTACCCATTGGACAATAACTCGATTTTCTTCTCTCCCTAGCCTCTGGCAACCACCGTTCCACTTTCTGTCTCTATGAATTTAAGGCTGAATTCTGTATCTAAGTCCCTCATGTGAGTGGAATCATATAAAATTTGTCCTTTTGACTGGCTTATTGTACTTAGCATAATGTCCTCAAGGTTCATCCACGTTGTAGCATGTGTCAGGATTTCCTTTCTTTTTAAGTTTGAATAATATTCCTCTGTATGGATACAGCATATCTTGTTTATCCATTCATCCACTGATGGACACTTGGGTTGCTTCTACCTTTTGGCTATTGTGAGTAACGCTGCTATGAATATGGTTGTACAATTATCTGTCGATGTTCCTGCTTCTGTTCTTCTGGATATATACCCACAAGCGGAATTGCTGGGTCAAATAGTAATTCTGTGTTATATTTTTGAGGAACTATCATACTGTTTTCTGCAGTAGCCGCACCATTTTAAATTCCCACGAGCAATGTATGAGTCCCAACTTCTCCACATCTTTGTCAACACTTATTATTTTCTATTTTTCTTAATTACAGCCATCCTAATGAGTATGAAGTGGTATCTCATTGTGGTTTTGATTTGCATTTCTCTAATGATTAATGATGTTGAGCATCTTTTCATGTGCTTATTGGCCATTTGTATATCTTCTTTAGAGAAATGTCTATTCAAATCTGTTGTCCATTTTTGAATCAAGTTGTTTGATGTTGTTGATGTTTAGGAGTTCTTTATATATTCTGGATATCAATCCCTTATGGGATATGTGATTTGCAAATATTTTCTTGCCAAGCTATCAATTTTTCTTTTTCTTTTTTTTTTTAAAGATTTTATTTATTTATTTATTTTCCCCCCAAAGCCCCAGTAGATAGTTGTATGTCATAGCTGCACATCCTTCTAGTTGCTGTATGTGGGACGCGGCCTCAGCATGGCCTGAGAAGCGGTGCGTCGGTGCACACCTGGGATCCGAACCCGGGCTGCCAGCAACGGAGATGGCGCACTTAACCACTAAGCCACCGGGCCGGCCCCTATCAATTTTTCATGTTGAAGAAATTGTGCATTACAAATATTTAACATTCCTGGAATTTAAGAGATTTTGGTCTTTTCAAGTAACAGATAAAACTTTTGAGTTCTAATTTAAAACGTGTAATTGGGTAATGGATTTAGACCTGTAATTTTATATGGAAATCTTCCTGAATTTATATGCACAATTGGAAGATTTAAGCCTCACCATATTTATAAATTTAATTTATTAAAATTCTAAGAATTACTTAAAGTATGTGGAAGATGTATTGGTCGGTCAGATCAACTAAAGTTCTTAAAAAGGAGATTGAAATTATACAACATTGAGCAAGGAGTGTCACTGAGCAAGTTTAGAAATGCAACCAGCCATCAATCAAAGGTCCCTGGAGAATGACTGTCAACATTTGCTGGGTTAATAAATATATAGAATAATATTTGTCAGGGCCAGCTAGGTGGTGCAAGTGGTTAAGGGCACACGCTCTGCTTCGGCGGTCCAGAGTTTGCAGGTTCGGATCCTGGGCGCTCACTGAGGCACTGCTTGTCAGGCCATGCTGTGGCGGCGTTCCATATACAGTGGAGGAAGATGAGCATGGATGTTAGCTCAGGGCCAATCTTCCGCAACAAAAAAAAAAAGAAGAAGAAGAGGAGGAGGATTGGCATTGGATGTTAGCTCAGGGCTGATCTCCCTCACACACAAAAAAAGGAATAACCTTTGTGAGTTGAGCTCAAATGCTAAATGAAGAACTAGGTTTTTAAATTTGTGACTGTAATAAGTGGAAGAATAATTTTAAATATAAACCAATTGTTGCTGCGCCTTTAGAGGACTTTGATATCTTCTGTTACGAACCTAACAAGAGAATCTAAGCTGCTTCCTCCAAGCCGAAGGTCATACAGGTCCTTGTGTATAATTTCCAAAGAGTGCCGTTTGGATCCCTGGAGCCAGGCTGCCCGGCTTCCTTGGGTTGACTCGGATCCCTGTTGCCCCAGCTCCTCAGTGTCCATCCAGCAGATACTGACAGGGCACCTCCTGTAGCCAGGCGTTCTGCTGGGGCTGGGTTCACGGAGTCAGAGAGGGCAGGGTCCCTGTCTTTGCAGCTCGCAGGCCACTCAGGGGCGATTACAGCCCATGGTGAGGGGTGCTATGAGGGAGGAGGTTCCGGGAGCTTTGTGAGCCCCGCATGCTGCCTGAGAGTGAAAGGGAAGGCTTCCTGGAGGAGGTGGCATCTAAGCTGAGACTTAAAGGATGACTAGGAGTTGGCCAAGTGTGTGGGGAAGGTGGTCCAGGAGGAGGAGGGAACAGCATGTTCAAAAACTCCGAGGCAAGAGGCACTAAGGGGCCGTTTCCCTCTTGGAGGCTGTAAACTTGGGAAAGCCTTCCCCTGCTGGACCATCTCAGGGTTCCTCAGGACATCACAGCACGTGGAGTGTTTACAGCGAGAAACCTCCCACGGGGTACGAGTGCTCTGGAGGTGGCGATTTCCGGCGTTGACTTCATCCCGGACAGCTGCCTGCTGGGACTGAAGCCCTGTGCCGTTCAGTCGCTTCCCCAGGCTGGCGGCCTGCCCCTGGCCCTGGCCCCTGCAGCGTGGAGGCCCCCGCTGGGCCCGGGCCCCCTCGGTGCGGGCAGCCGCCTGCCTCCCCGGGCACAGCAGGCCTCCAGCGCTTCTCCTGTCCTGGCTGCCCAGGCTGGCCTCCCTCCTCACTCTCTATTTGCTGCCGTCCTCCTCCATCGTGGTTAGACCTTTTCGGGGTCCTCTCTGCCCCTGCACTGAGCCCTGTGCTCTGAGGGCTCAAGCCTCAACCTCTGACCCCCAGTGCTCTGTCCTCGTCTCTACTGGCCTCATTATTCCGCCTCCCTGTGCCTGTCGCCTCCCTGTTCTGTGCTGAGCTTCTGGCCCTGGCCCGTGTCCTGGGCGGCCCACCGCAGGTCAGTCTCGTTCTCAGAGAGTCGGGGAGCATGCAGGGGCTTCAGAGGCCTCCGGGGAAGCCCGGCCCAGCCCCTCCAGAGGGGGAGGGTGTCACCGGAGTCAGACAGGTAGAGGTGCAGGGCCAGAACCCAGCTCTCCAGACCCCCAGCCTGTCGCTTTCCCTTCACCCCAGCCACAGTCCCAGCTCGGGCCCTAGGCCGTGACACCCCCACCCTGCGCCTCCTCTCACCACCCCGCCGGGCCCAGCGCTGCCCTCTGAGCCCAGCTCCAATTCTGACCCAGCAGCCTGGGCATGGAGCAGCCTTCAGGCCTCGCAGACTGTCGAGAAACCGGGAGAACATTTCAACCTCAAAGGGAAGAGGGGCTCCATAGGGCAAATGACAAAGTGTGGGCTTTTAACATTTTTCTTAATTTTTAAAATTCAAAAAGTGCAGAAGGATACGGAGTGAAAAGGAAGTCTCCCGCGGCCCTCCCCCAGCCCCCAGCTGCCGGCTCTCTCCCCAGGCACAGCTTTTGCTTCTCTCCTGCAGCCCGTGCACACGCAGGAATGTGCGTGTGTGCAGATGTGTGCTGCTTTTCCTAATTTTAAACTCAAATGATAATGTGATGGAGTTCGAATGAAAAATAATCTCACATCATGCAGTGTGTTCCAAAGGAGGTAAGATTACCTACTAAAATAAACTTTAGAATGAGAATAAATGTAGCAACATAGAAGGACACTCAGGGTATATTGTTAAGTGCAAAAAAATAAGGTTCCAAAATAGAATGAATGTAGAGTTCTATTTATGGTTAAAAGAAAGTTACGTTCTCTGAGTATTTAAAATCAAGTCTCAATTGTCACAGCCAAGAGCAGCCTAAGGAGACATGGTAACTAAAGTAATGTGGTCTCCCGGATGGGATCCTGGAACAGAAAAAGGACATTAGGTAAAAACTAAGGAAATCTGAGTAATGTTCCACTGTATGTATACACCAATATTATTCAGCCTTAAAAAAGAAGGAAATCATGGATGTGACAACATGGATGAAGATTGAGGACGTTATGCTAAGTGAAATAAGCCAGTCAGAGAAGGACGAATACTGCATGATTCCACTCCTATGAAGCATGATAGAGGCAGAGAGGAGAAGGGTGGTTGCCAGGGGCTGGGAAGTAGGGGAAATGGGGAGTCGCTAATTAATGGGTGTCAAGTTTTCATTATGCAGGATGAGTGAGTCCGGGAGATCTGCTGTGCTACATTGTACCTATAGATAACAGTGCTGTAGGACACACTTACACATTTGTGAAGAGGGTAGATCTCACGTTAAATGTTCTTGCTATCACAAAATAAAATAAATAAATACAAACTTAAAAGAAAAATCCCTAAGGAAATCTGAATAAAGTAAGGACTTTAGTTAATAACAACATATCAGTACTGGTTCATTCATTGTAACAAAATGTAACAAATGTTCTGTGCTAACATAAGATGTTAATAACAGGGGAACTGGGTCAGGGTGGACGGGAACTTCCTGTACTATCGTCACGATTTTTCTATAAATCTAAAACTATTTCAAAATATAAAATTTATTTTTAAAAAAAGTCTGGATGTGGGCCAGCCTTGGTGGACTAGTGGTTGAGTTCGAGGTGCTCCACTATGGCGGCCCGGGTTCAGTTCCTGAGCATGGAACTACACCACTTGTTGGCGGCCATGCTGTGGCGGTGGCTCACATACAAAATAGAGGAAGATGGGCACAGATGTTAGCTCAGGGTGAGTCTTCCTCAGCAAAAAAGAGGCAGATTGGCAATAGATGGTAGCTCAGAGTGAATCTTCCTCAGCAAAAAAAAAAAAAAAAAAAAATTCTGGATGGACAACACAGTGTTCTCTCCAGATAGGGGGATTACAAGTGACTTTTCCCCTTTCAGTTTGTCTGTGTTTTCTGTTTTCTACAGTAAACATGTATTATTTGTATAATGAATTAACAATAGACCAGAACATTAAGTAGACCGTGCTGTCAACTCCAGCCCTCGTGACAGAAGCTTCCAGGTGTGACAGCAGCCCTGGCTAGGTTTGCTGTGAACCCAGCAAAATTCTGTCTGGGCCACGTCCTGGGAAGGGGCTGCTCTCAAAGGGACTCTGGAGACACCTGGAATCCGTTCACCTGCCGGTGGCTAGGTTGGTGTTCCAGGTGCCCAGCCCTCCACCTTTATAAAAATTTCTCCACTTAAACAAAAAAGTTATGCATTTAATATCTGTCCATTGTAGAAAAGTGAGAAAGTACATATGACACAAAAAGAAAATAATTCAGTTGAAATTCTATTGTTCAGACAGAACTACTTTTTACATTTTTGTAGTTTGTCCTTCCAGACTTTAAAATTCGTATACACACAGTATAAAGATATGCATATACATGACTGTTTACAAAAGTTGGACCATACACTGGATATAGCTGGGTAATCTGCTTTACTGCTTAGCAGTGCTTACTGAACTGTTTTCTATGCCTGATAAATACATATCTACACTGTCATGTTAAACAACTGTATTGTATTTCAATATATAATAGATTAATAGATTAAACTATAGTCGATTTAATTCTCTGCTGCTGTATATAAAGGACTTTTTCTTCCCAATCTGTAAATTGTTAAAGAAGTGTTCGTTGAGCTCCACCATGAGCCAGGGACTGTTCTGGAAATACAGCAGTGCACGAGCATCCTCATGGGGCTCATGTTCTAATGTGAAAGGGGCATAATGGCAGGACCGCCCTTGCAGGGTGGCTGTGAGGGCTGAGCGAGGGCACCCGTGTGGCTGGAGCACGGTGGAAGGGCTCAACCAGTGTTGCTGTTGTTACTGTGATCAATACCATGGGTGGGGGGCTGCTGAGGGTGGCGCCACCCGCTGTCTGAGCCCCAGAGGGTGCAGAGCCTGACCCGATACCCTGAGAGCTGTGTTTGGGGACTGCAGCCTCCCCAGCTGCAGGGCCCTCTCCCACTCCCCGCCAATGCTGACTGTGCTGTGTCCCCCCAGGGCTGGACATCCACTTCATCCACGTGAAGCCCCCGCAGCTGCCCTCCGGCCGCACCCCGAAGCCCCTGCTGATGGTGCACGGCTGGCCCGGCTCCTTCTACGAGTTTTATAAGATCATCCCATTCCTGACTGACCCCAAGAACCACGGCCTGAGCGATGACCACGTTTTTGAAGTCATCTGCCCTTCCATTCCTGGCTACGGCTTCTCAGAGGCATCCTCCAAGAAGGGTATGGGGACTGCGGGGGGCCATGTCACCGCCCCCTCCTCGCCCACCCAGTGTGGGCCAGGTTTTCCCACCAGCCTCTCCTTCTGCGAGGATGCGGTGGGGAGTCGGCTGGGACAGCCTCCTTCAGAGCCTGAGAAGTCCAGGGAAGGAGGCGTCTGAAAGCGGAGGGAAGAGAAGCGAGGAGAGCATTTTTATTATGCCAAAGGGCCAGCACATCTTAGGACCTGTGGTGGGCAGGGGACCGGAGGAGTCACGACGCTCAGGGTCGAGGTCCTGACTGTTCAGTGCTGGCTCCGGGGCCTGGCTTCTTGTGTTCTCGTGAGCTCCCCACACAGAGGCAGGTCCACATCTGGGCCCTGGACTGTTCCAGGCCAGCAGGGCTGACCAAGCCTCACGTGCAGTGTGGGCCCACAGAAGCTCCCCGGGGCTGGCCTGAGCCCATCGTATGCCCTCTCAGCCTGGCTGTCACTCACTGTCCCTCTCCACCAAGGCAGGCACTGGGCACACTGGGCACGGGCACACCCAGGATTCCTTCTCACCTCCTGTGAGCTGCTCTCACCTCCGCCTGGGGGTGGGGGGTATGAGGGATTTCACAGGACGCCAGGAGGACCTGAGGAGTGACCCCAAGACTCTGTTCTCTTCCCCTTCACAACCAGGCTTTAATTCAGTGGCCACTGCCAGGATCTTCTATAAGCTGATGCTGCGGCTGGGCTTCCAGGAATTCTACATTCAAGGCGGGGACTGGGGGTCCCTGATCTGCACCAACATGGCCCAGCTGGTGCCCAGGTGAGGGTGACTTGCTGGTGTGTCTGTGTCCACGTGCACAGCCTCTGCGAGGTGGACATCTATGCAGGTGGTAGCGTTATTCATGCCAGGCCTTGCCCGGGCATGGCGTCTGAGCCTTGGAGTACCCCCTTGCCACAGGCCCCCCAGGCAGGATGTCTCTGGGCCCAGGGGAGAGGAGGGAGGGTGCCCTGTCATTCAGCTCTGCCTGGGGCACTCTGACTCGAATCCTCCCTCCAATCCGTGTCACACAGTGTTGGTGACTGTAGGCCAGATGCCCAGGCAGAAAGGGCCAGTTAGAAGAGGGGAAGGTCAGAGAATGGACCTCTCTGATGGACCAAGCCCTGGGAGAGACCTGACCGGAACTTTCTAGAAACTGTATTTTCTCCCCAACCTGCTCCTCCACCTCATGTAGCCCCTCCAGAGGGGCAGATGCGAAAGGGGGCTGGTGCTGTGCTCCTCAGCCCTGTGGCCTCTTCCTCCCCCGTCTCTTGCCTCCCCCTTTCCTTGACGCCAGCCCAGCCTCAGCTGGCGCCTCTCTGCCCTTAGCCACGTGAAAGGCCTGCACTTGAACATGGCTTTGGTTCTAAGAAATTTCTACACCCTGACCCTTCTTCTGGGACGGCGTTTCTCGGGGCTTTTTGGCTACACCGAGAGGGACGTGGAGCTGATGTACCCCTTCAAGGAGAAGATTTTCTACAGCATAATGAGGGAGAGCGGCTACATGCACATCCAGTGCACCAAGCCCGACACCGTGGGTGAGCGCTGGGGGCGGCCCGGCTCCGCCGACCTTCTCCACCCAGGGGTCGGGGGCAGGAACACTGCTCACAGGGTAAAATTCTTGTGAAGAACTCTGGCTCTTTTGACCCTTAAACTGCATTTCTCCATGGAAGTGAGTTGATGCATGATCATCAAATTCCCAAACAACTCCATTTAGCAGATTCAGTGTTCCTCTGGTTTCACACCTGATTCCTCCACCCCTGAGCCTAAATCCTACAGGAAGAAGCAGAGCGGTGGAGAGGGGTGGGGGGAGGAGGAGCCTGGGGGTTTGGCAGCTCTGGGACTGTGGGGGACGGGAGTGGGGGGCCCCAGGACCCTGAGGGGGACTCCCCATGATAGTGAGCGAGGGCCCAGCAACTGTTTCTGCCACCAGAGCCCTGTTAAAAGACAATGTGTTTTAAAAAAGATAAAAACATTGAAAAAGAATCATACAAATATAGAATGAACACATGTCAAAGATTTTATTTAACTCATTAAGTAATAAAGGAACCAGTAAAATGTGAAACAACACAAAACAGTTCAAAGGCAATTAGGAACACTAAAACTTTTTTGCTAATAGATGCAAAACTTGTCAAAATGCACAGAGTAATAATCAATTAAATCTCCACTGGGCAAAATTTTTTTCTTTCAGCTTTTTTTACATACTGCAACATAGTATATGTGTAAGGAGTACAGCATCATGATTTGACTTACATATATTGCAAAATGATTACAACAGTAAGTTTAGATAACATCCATCGTCTCACATAAATACATGGGGAAAAAAGTGGTTTTTTTTCCTGTGATAAGAACTTTTAGGATTTACTCTCTGGACAAAATTCACTTGCTTCTCTATGAACAAGAACCACTTGCATACTCTCCGTTTTCTACAGTTTACAGAGCTGTAAAATACTGGAAGACAAGAGAAGAGGGGACCCCTACAGAATCAGATAACCCCGGCAGTGTCCACGAGATAACTCCCGAGTCCCACCCAGGGGACGCCCAGGAATCATTTTGCCCATTTCAAAGTCTTCTATGAGTTTTCATGACCGTCTCTCACACACACGTTAGGAGCTCACGATAATAATGATAGCGCTTTAGAAAACCAGTTTTGT